ACCCTAAAATTAAAAAAGGTATAAATATGTGTACCTTTTAAATGTTAATGGACAAAGGAGAGATTTGGAGACAGATGCTGCTCCATCTTATAACGACAGAGAGGCTGATATGACGACATGTTTACAAGGGTATGTTAATATATTAATGATATTGCAAGCATATAGTTTAATCTAATAAACTCTGCTATAAATTATTGTAATTGATTTTATATGTCTATATTTTTTATTATTATGTAATAAATATCTTAAAGACAAAACTTTATTGCTTGTGAGACAATCCTTATTTTATATTGTATTGTCAATTATTTATATATTTTAAATAGACGGTCTCTTAGTGACTATATAATATTATGGCTAAAGATATCTGTATGGTTAGCCCTGCTAAGTTCTATGCTTTAAGACGTTATAGTGGTAAATAAGGGAATTAGCTGCTGTTACAATTGGAGCCCAATGTGGGCCTTGTACTTGAAAGCTTTAACTATAAAATAATATATACCTTGGTATAACCTCTTATATTTATAAGAGAATACACAATACTTTGTCATGGCACAGGTCTTGAAATATTAAGAATTTAATGAGCTATTTGTAGCCCAGACTCAGAGAGAGATCTTCATCAAGAGATGATTTTATGTGAACTTGTACAAGGCACTTGGAGTTCGGGGGTCAGATACATTGTATTTAGTATACAATGCTTAAATTGCAGATCTTAATTAATATCGTAAGATAACATATATACATATTTGGTAAACTCCCTAATATGCCTAATACACCAGCACAGCCTGGTCCATTCCAGGACAGTGAGTTGTAGGCAGGGGGCAGCCATGTTCTCTCTGTAGCTGCATAAGTTTGCATGCACAGAAAAAAAGATTAATGCAAGATGTTGTCAAAAAAAAGTTATAAGACAAAGCGATGAAAACAACATTTGCTATTATATTACTAATAGATTTTGAAGTCTAATTCCAAGAATGCAAAGAAAATTGCATTATGGCTTAATGAAAACATTCATGCCACAGAAGCAACAGACAGACAGGATTTTTAATTATTGCATTACCGCCTTCTGAATTGTAATATCCACTATATGTGAAAAGTTTTATAAAAGAGTGATAATTTCCATATTGTCAGTTACACTTGCTGTTGATTAAAAAATCAGGAATTATAACAGCATAACTATTTTTGGCATCTGGGATTTTCAGACAAGATCGCGGAGTTAGAAACAGATTGTCAGGATTACAAGTTAATCCAGCACGCAGAACTGTTTCACACCTAGGACTAAGGATAATGTATAACCGAACCTTAGAATGGCCGGACTTAACGTATCTAAGAATAGTCAAACTACTTGCTGAGGTCAGGAACACAGAATCAGACACAACGATTAGGGAAAGCCAAAAGTCAAGGATACCAGAATTCAGGGAAGTCAAAATGAAGCCAAAGTCAAATACCAGAAAATCAAGATCAGGAATGCACTCTCGGATTACTATCAGGATGAAACCACGATAGGCCAATGAACAAAAGGAGAATTGGATTTAAATACCCCTCCTGTGGATCTGATTGTCCGTAACCGGCCTTTGACCACAAAAGCAATTACCAGGTTTCCATGTGCATGATTGTTGCTCAGCACAAACCCTCCTGTGGATCTGATTGGCCAAAAGCAATTACCAAGTTGCCATGTGCATGATTGCTGCTCAGCACAAACCCTCCTGTGGATCTGATTGGCAATATCCAGCCTTTAGACCCCAAAAACAATTACCAGGTTTCCATGTGCATGATTGCTGCTCAGCACAAACCCTCCTGTGGATCTGATTGGCCATATCCGGTCTTTGACCCCAAAAGCAATTACCAGGTTTCCATGTGCATGATTGTTGCTCAGCACAAACCCTCCTGTGGATCTGATTGGCCAAAAGCAATTACCAAGTTGCCATGTGCATGATTGCTGCTCAGCACAAACCCTCCTGTGGATCTGATTGGCAATATCCAGCCTTTAGACCCCAAAAACAATTACCAGGTTTCCATGTGCATGATTGCTGCTCAGCACAAACCCTCCTGTGGATCTGATTGGCCATATCCGGTCTTTGACCCCAAAAGCAATTACCAGGTTTCCATGTGCATGATTGTTGCTCAGCACAAACCCTCCTGTGGATCTGATTGGCCAAAAGCAATTACCAAGTTGCCATGTGCATGATTGCTGCTCAGCACAAACCCTCCTGTGGATCTGATTGGCAATATCCAGCCTTTAGACCCCAAAAACAATTACCAGGTTTCCATGTGCATGATTGCTGCTCGGCACAACTTTTCCTGTCAGGACGTTAATCCTGCTTGGCACAACTTTTCCTGTCAGGACGGTAATGCTGCTCGGCACAACTTTTCCTGTCAGGACGATAAATGCCATTAACCACATTTTTACGTGTGAATGAATATGTGACGCAGATAAACAATTCATAGGAATTAAGAAGTTGTTTTTGTTTTTTTGTATATTCCAAATTATGAACAACTTTATTACATACAGCCATAAAGAGAAAGATATGGCTTTTAAATAAACATTAATTGCAGTACAATGCAGTACACTGCAGCATATATTTAATATAATATATGCTAACTAGCTTATTTCTTTACATAAACAGAGTTGAAATTATACTCACCCCCTCCCCCGCTCCCCCACTAGAAAATATGTCAATATGAAAAAATTTAAAAGAAGGGCAACAGGTCGTTATACATCCTTTGCTTCTCTAAATGCACTGCAAAAATAAATATTTATAAAATAATTTAAAATAACATATGTAAGATAAATCAGGACAAAATAAAATTGTAAATATAAAGGATCTCTGATAACTTTTAAACTGAAATTGTTGAAAGGTTTATTTAAATGAAATGTTAAATACATTTACAGTTTAAATGTGACCAAAAGATACTAAATGATGTAAGCCACGTTGGCCCAATTCATTAGTATAGCATAAGTATTCTATTATTTAAACTGCACATTTCCTACACATAACGACTTTGCTTACTCAGATACAGACTTTAGTCTATTGCAATGGCAGAAGGATTACATTTTAGTCCACCAATTTTAAAAGGGAAAGCTTACATAAATCAGTGGTACTATCCCACTGTACCTGCAGTGGTAGCAGTAAGGAAATTAGAAAAATGATACTGTACTCACTAGAGTTGAGTGGACACCTGGATGTTTGGGTTCGCCGGGTTCGGCCGAACTTCGGCAAAAAGTTCGAGTTCGGGACTCGAACTTGACCTGAGCTTGACCCCGAACCCGAACCCCATTGAAGTCAATGGGGACCCAAACTTTTGGGCACTAAAATGGCTCTAAAAAAGTCCTGGAAAGGGCTAGAGGGCTGCAAAAGGAAGTAAAATGGGGGTACGAGTAGGACAAGTGCCCTGCAAACAAATGTGGATAGGGAAATAAGTTAAAATAACATAAATACTTAAAAATGTAAAATAATAATCTTGAACTAGGAGGAGGAGGTGGATGTGGAGTAGGAGGTTGAGGAGGCGGTGACCGTGGCAGTGTGTGTGGAAGCGGCGGTGAAGGAGGAGGAGGTAGCCAACACTGTTTTTTTTTTAATTGGGGTAGCCCCCAAAATATTGGGACATATAAAAAAAGAAAACAAAGAATAAGTGCACTTGAGTATAACAATGGCTGGGTGAGGCCGGTATAAATGTCTATTCTGCACAAGGTACAGACAAGTCTGGTGGGATCCATGCCTGGTTCATTTTAATAAACGTGAGCTTGTCCACGTTGGCTGTGGACAGGCGGCTGCGCTCAGGGCCGGCGCCACCTGTAAGGCGACCTAGGCAGCCGCCTAGGGTGCAACTTAGCAGGGGGCGCCGGATCCCTGCACCCTGCGGCTCCTCATGCTGCACCGCCTGAGCGCTTTAGCAAGCCCCAGGCGGCGCGGCATTGCTGTGTGGAGGGCGGCCAGGTTTGTGACCGGCAGGAGGGAGGCGCAGAGCGCTCCCTCCTGCCGGTCTCTCAATGTAGCGTGGCCGGGCGGCGCGGAACGCGGGACAGGACCCTCTGTTTCCTGTACTGAGGAACTGAGTGAGCACTTCCCTTCAGTCCGCCGGCGGCCGGGTACAGGAAACAGAGGTTCCTGTCCCGCGTTCCGCGCCGCCCGGCCACGCTACATAGGCAGGAGGGGAGGGGGTGGGGAGGGAGTAAGGACCATTAGGGAGGGAGTAAGGACCATTAGGGGAGGGGGAGGAGGGAGGCGACCATTAGGGAGGGGGGGAGGGGGGGAGTAAGGACCACAGGGAGGGGGGGGAGTGGGGGAGTAAGGACCATTGGGGGAGGGGGGGGAGGACCATGGAGGGGAGGGCAAGGACCACAGGGGAGGGGGGAAGTAAGGACCACTGGGAGGGGGGAGTAAGGACCATTAGGGAGTGGGGGAGTAAGGACCACCAGGGATGGGGGGGGGAGTAAGGACCACTAAGGGGGAGAAGGACCACCAAAGGGGGGTAAGGAGGGAGGACCACTAAGGAGAGGGGAGGAGGGTAAGGACCACTAAGGGGGGGGGAGATTACCACTAAGGGGGTGGGGGGAGGAGGGGAAGGTCTACTAAGGGGTTTGGGAGAGGGAGGACCACTAAGGGAAGGGATGGAGGACCACTAAGGGAGAGAGGGGGGAGTGAGAAGACCACCAAGGGGGGATTGCAAAGGGACAGGGGGCCAAGGGAGAGCACTAAGGGACAGAAGGGGTAGAACATGGAGGGACAGGAGGGAAGGGGAAATCAATAATTGACAGGAGGGGAGAGCACTATGAAATTTTTTAAAAAAAATAAAGAGCTGTTCCCCTCTCAGTCCCTATCCTACCCCACAAACCCTCTCTTTTACACTACACACAAACACAATGCATCCCCCCCCACACACACACACAGAAACATACAATCCATTCCTACTCACACACAGACACACCCGAAACACACAATGCATCCCTTACGTTCACACAAACACTCATTCTCTTACACACAGAAACAAAATGCATCTCTTACACAATCTGTAGGAAATTTGCATTCCGTGAGATATTTGTTTTCCAGTTTTCTGAACAAATCGAATCAGAGTGTCTTGCAGTTAAAACCGTATATTTATTACAATATACACATCATCCGGTAACAACAAAAGTCTGTTTTAAAATCATATGGACCAATAGACAATGTATATTCACTTCTAGATCTTATCCAAGCTTGATGTTAAAAGGTATTGGTCGTTGGTGTTACTATTGGTATTGGAGCTGCAATGGATTTTATACATTTAAAATTCAATTACATAGGGCGTATACATAATGACATAAGGTTTGCCTGCTTTACAATAATTGGTTATCTAAGAAAAAATAGGTGGTAACTTAGTATTATTCGATATCTATGATTAAAGCCATACGTTATGATGTTTTGGTAAGTTACACACAAAGACCTTCTTGAGACTTCTAATTACATGATGGAATGAATGATTGCCTATAGAAATGTGAACATTTCACAGGAATTCAGGCTTACAAGGCTAGGTTAAAGGTTATTATCAACAGGATCCACAAGTCTCCATCCATCATTCTTGACTTAAAACCATATGTGTGTAAATTACAGTATGTGTATAAATTACATTATGATAGTAATCTATCTGGGTAGGCCTCTCGATGTCTGGATATGCTTAAATTAATAACTTACAATATTTCTACATTCCTACAACACGTTGAATACATTTAAAGTTTATAAAAATATTTTTCAAGTTCCCCTTTGATGCTTTTTATGTACATATAATGCATCATAATTTATTCCATTTCCTTGTAAAACTTTAATTTTGTGGTCAGGAATTTACATCTGTATTCCACATCCATCAGTTGAGACCGTAAACGATTGATTCTTTTAGACATATAACAACTAAAGAAGAATAAAACCATAATAATAATCATCAAAATTACTAAAGGATGAGTTATGAAGTGTGTCATACCCATAACTAATCCTTTCTTTTGTCCTCCAAACCACCGTTGCCACCAGGATGTGGTTTCTTCGATATAATCATGTTTAATGCTTTTAATCATACCTTGCACTGTATGTATTTGTACTAAAGTGTTATGTACTCCAGTCGCAGCTTTATCAATAACTTGTAATAACTCTTTTAACTGTTTATTGAAATCAGCTCCATAACCTATACTTACATTTAGCTGGGTTTTGATAGGTAAATGAGCTGTCTTGTGTTTGTTCGAGTACTTTTACTTTAGCATTTGTGTAAGGATTAACAAGTGTATCTATTAAGTACATGTAGCAAATTAACCCATCATCGTTAACACTTCTCACATTAAACATAGTAAGGGTAAGGGTGTTGTCTATACCAGTAGGTACCACACACCTACTCTCCGTATTATTTTGCATTATATATGTCCGATCCTTGGTAATATTAATGATTAAATCAACTCGTCCGTCAACTGATAGATATGTCATACATGGTTCTTGGTTATCATGGAATATGAGCGCACCGGATATTGCATCCTCAGATGTGTCTGCATTGATGCATCCACAATAATCAACATCAGGAGTCTTACAATATTTCACTTTACACTCATAGGGGAATGCTGTACATTTAGAAAAAGTATCTCTAATATCACAATCTGGAGTACCTGTACCTTGGGCATTGATTGTACCTAACATCATCATGATTAAAAACAGTATGATGCTATGCAATTTTATAAAGGTTACATTATCAAGAAACCCCAATCGGTTTGATTTAGTCCGTGAAGTAATGTCCTCTCCAATCGCATTCATGAGAGCAGTCTTTTTGTCCATAGTGTCTTTTGATAGTCCAAACAATTTGTCCTTTTTAAAATTAAACAGTCTTTGTCCATGAACAAACATTATTGATTCTGTAATGAAAAACAGATGGCAGTTTACTATTCTTATACATTAGTGAGTTTACATTGATCAATATGCACAAGAATTGCTTTATTACATTTCCTACCAACTTTTGCTCTTTGAACCTGTAAGACAGTTTGTCCTAATTTCTTTAGAATAACATAAGGTCCTTCCCAACCTGCCTGCCAGGGACCTGGTGTTCTAAATGATTTTACCATCACTTTGTATCCTGGTTTAAACTTATCTGCATAATTCCCCTGAGTTACATCTTTAACCCATTGTTTACCAGAAGGGGCCATATTCAAAGCAGCAAACTTCAAAACTGACTGCAGCTGTTCTTGTAACACTTTTAACCATTCAGCATGTTCTGCAGCAACTTTGAAAGTACTTGGAACAAAAGGTTCATTGGGGAAAGTAATTGGCATGGTTCTGCCTGTCATTAACTCATGAGGTGACACTTGCGTTTTGGAGTTTGGAGTTGCACGAATAGACATTAAAACTCCTGGTAAGTGTGTTACCCAACTATTCCCTTTATCTTCAAGCATTTTTTTCAATCTAGATTTCAATGTCCTATTCATTCTTTCCACTATGCCAGCCGACTGTGGATGATATGGGACATGAAATCTTTGTTGGATCCCCAACAATTTACACATTTCTTTAAGTACTTCTCCAATGAAGTGTGGACCATTGTCAGATTCAATGATTCTGGGAAAACCCCATACAGAAAATACATATTTCCATAGCGCCTTACATGTTGTTAACGCTGTACAATTGGTAAGAGCTATACAATCCACCCATTTGGAGAATATATCAACAATTACCAATCCGTACTTTAGTCCTCCTGGAGCTATAGGTAATGGTCCAATAAAATCAATTTGTATAGAGTCCCATGGTCCTTTTGCCAAAGGTACTCTCTGCAATTTTGGTTTCTGACCTTTAGGTCTGGGATTAAATTGAGCACATATGAGACACTCCTGCACTATGTTTGTACACCATTGTTTCAAATTAGGATGATAAAATTTATTTTGCAGGACCTTAAACAGGTTTTCTGTACCCAAATGCCCCAGTGTACGATGATTGAATACAATCAACTCCTGCAATATATCACTAGGTACAAATGGTACAAACGTTTGTGTTTCCTAATGCTTTAACCCTTGCTGTTCGTGGTGTTTTACCTGCTGCATCTATATTTACTCCTAAGAAAGCCACGCTTTCTTTCAAGATCTGCACTTTGAATGTGTTCAGTTTTAACCCATTATCTGCCAGTGCTTGACAAATATCACACAGTATCTGCTCATGCTCTTCCCTTGTTACTGTTTGAACCAACAGATCATCAACATATTGCAAAATCTTGTTCCCATACCCCAGGGGTTCCAATACTTGAGCCAGTGCTTTATGAAAATAAGCTGGCGAGGAGTGGAAGCCCTGTGGCAGCACCTGGAACAGATATTGATGATTTTTAAAGGTAAAAGCAAAACGATACTGACTATCTGGGTGTACTGGTATTGAGAAAAACCCATTGGCTATATCCAGAACAGAAAAATACTTAGCATTGCCGTCTACTTGTGCCATGATATCTGGTGAGGAGGCCACTATATGGGCTGCTGGTGGGGTATACTTATTCACCACTCGCATGTCCACAATTAAACGATAAGAGCCATCTGGCTTGATTATTGGCCAAATAGGGGAATTACATTTGGAATTACCCACTCTCAGCACTCCTTGAGATACCAATGCCTCTATCACTTGACTCACACCTTCTTCTGATTCTTTTGGAATTTTATATTGTTTTACTGCAGGAGGGTCTGGTCCTTCAATGACAACTTGTAAATTCATTCTCCCACAATCTTGTTTAGATTTAGACCATACTGTGGGGTATTTTTCTTTCAGATAGGTTACAAAATCATCATCTTGTTGTATAGAAGGTGACACTTCACCCTGTTTTACAGACATGACATGACTATACCATCCTAAATCATTAGGTCTAACCACTCCACCTGATTTGCTCTCACCTGGAGCTTGCCACAAAACCAAATTCAATAAATCCACATACAACTTTTTTCCATTGATAACATCCATCCCCAAAATAGTACAGTGGGATGAGAGGTCGACCCATAAGTCACAATTTATTTTACCTCCTTCAAATTTGATGTAATTATCAGTGGATAGAGTTGCATGGGCATGTGCTCCATTAAAACTTAGAAGGGAAATTGTTGGTGCTTCAATTTTTAAAGGCAAGCTTTTGTTGGTTAAAGACACTGCAGCTCCTGTGTCTACTAAAAACTCTGTTATATTCCCCTCTAGTGTTCCATAAATATATGGCCTTCCATCTTCACCCAGAGTAATATCAGTGAGATAGACCAGAGAACAACTAGGGGTTACACATCCCTATTTATTAGTGTGGTAAGCAGAATTCACTTGTGGACTTGTGACTGCTTCCACCTTCATTTCAATGGCATTTAACATCCGTCTACACTCTTCATATGGATTTGATATTTGAGGGGGGTTTGAAGATGTATTTTCGGTTTCTACAGCTGCCACTCTCTGTAGATTCTTATAGCCTGGCACAATGCCATTTTCTTTCCCTTTCACTGGGTAAGATTGTTCTTCATTTTTGGGACAATATCTCCTAACATGACCTTCTTGGTTGCATTTATAGCATATCATAGGACTATTCTGACTAACCCTATAATATCTATCTTGGGATGGGGCCGAATAATTTCTAGTACCCTGGTAATTTTGTGGTTTATTCATAGAACTCCCTCTAAAATTACCATTTCTATTATTATTTTCATATCTTCCTCTACCTTCTTCACGAGACACATAGTTAATAGGGGCCAGACCTGCTGAAGTATCCCTAGAGAAAAGTGTGCCTGTGAACGCAAAAATCTTAGCTGTTTCTGTGTTTTTCTTTTGCAACAATTGCAAAGATTTCATTATTTCTGTAGCAGCAAAATCAACTGTGGGTGAATCAAAAGCTCTTAATTTTATCTCATTTGGCAACCCTGCTATTCTAGAGACAAATTCAGTAACACTCTGCTTATGTTGTTCTTTAGACATAGCAGATGGTTCTGTATCCGTAATCAAATTCCATGCCTTATTCCACAAATTAGCACAAACACGTATATCATCATTTTTCTCCATTTTAAATGAATCAAGAGTAGAAAATTGAAAATTCTCCACACCAGTTGCACACTGTACCACCATTAGCAATCTCTGTGTATTATTTGGAAACAATTCCTCCAACTCAACTCGGGGCTTTTCACTTGACTTCCCTTCCAACACATCAATGAGTTTAACTTTAACCCATTCACTTAATGAAGTTGGCAGCCACATCAAAAGACCTCTTGTGGCTACCACATCATCAAATTGTCTTTTATTCATTTCACCTTCAAAAACACTCATATTGTAAAAAGGTCCTCTCTTCTCATCATATTTAGGCAAATCCTTAATCAATTTAGCTAATTTGAGAATATCCAACTGACCCTTTCCTTGTACATTTCCCAATTTATTTTCTATTTCACTTCTCGCCTGCCCGTTTTCACAACTTAACCTTTGAGCTATTTCATTTTCACTTTCCTCTTTCAAAGTAAAATCCAAATCTTTCTGATTTGTAGCTTTCCACAAAATATCTGTAGCACTACCCAGATTAGTAATCTGTCTCTGCAAATTGTCAAAATTAGTAACATTTATGTCTAATTCTTTAGACATGTGAGACAGGGTTTTATGGGTTCTATCTAACAAATCAGTCTGATTTCTAAGCATTTCTTTCATTATATTAATATCTTCATTTTCTTGATCCCTACTAAAACTTTTCAACAATTGCCGAGAATTTTCTATTTGAGTTTTTGTTTCAGTTAACGTGGATTCCAAGTCACTATCAAAAGAGAGCCTTGGGGGCAATCTCCCTTCTGTTAACAGCTTTTGTGGAGATTTCACAGTTTTGCTGGGGGGGCTAGGGAAATAACTAGTCCTTGTGACAACACATACATTTTTCAGTTGTTTTAACAAAACATCCCTTTTTTGTTTTGTTGTACTACATACATAACAATTACTGGTCTTTTTAAGTTGACACCATTCATTCATTGCATCATTAGTTTCCAAAAAGCTCTTTGCCAGTAATGCAACTTTTTGACTTTCCTTTTTAAATACATTGTTGTGCTCTATCTCACTTAATCCGTCTATCAATTTCAATAAACAGTCATCCCATATACTTTCAGGATTAACACCTTTTACAGAAAGATCTCTATTAGATCTGGCAGCAATCCTTTGCAGCCACTCCATAATTAACTTAAACAGTTAAACACTTTGTTTAACAAACAATATATATATGAGAGCACTTTTTACATATGATTTAAAACAAGACACATACCCATTAAGTACTCTGGTTCCACAGATATGGCCACTTTCTGATAGAAGAATACTTTCTGGAATATGTAGTTATTCTTGTGAATCCTCCGAAATGCAATCTTCGATCTGCACGTCGTCACAAATTACTTGATAAAGTGTGGATAAAAAGGACCCGGATTGTCCATCTCAATTATTTATCTTCAAATTCTTGCTTCAGTACTGAACATAAACATCTGCCGCGTTCGAACGACTTTCTCACCCTGCTTCACCTCCGTCTTCGCATCAGACCTGGGATGTTTAAACAAAGAATCTTTGGGATGCACTCCTGCTGTGTTAATCAGTCTCTTGTTTTTCTCCTGTTTCAAGCCGGGTACTACAGCTTTTCTTCAGAGAACACTTTCAACTTTTCTTCAGCGATTTTCTTATCTTCTTGTCTTCTTGTAGTTTGTAGCAGAACACTTAAATATTAAGTCAGTAATAATTCAGACTTAACTCAAAGTTGCCTTCTGACTTAAATCCAAGATGCCCGCATTCTCCACCATTAAATGTAGGAAATTTGCATTCCGTGAGATATTTGTTTTCCAGTTTTCTGAACAAATCGAATCAGAGTGTCTTGCAGTTAAAACCGTATATTTATTACAATATACACATCATCCGGTAACAACAAAAGTCTGTTTTAAAATCATATGGACCAATAGACAATGTATATTCACTTCTAGATCTTATCCAAGCTTGATGTTAAAAGGTATTGGTCGTTGGTGTTACTATTGGTATTGGAGTTGCAATGGATTTTATACATTTAAAATTCAATTACATAGGGCGTATACATAATGACATAAGGTTTGCCTGCTTTACAATAATTGGTTATCTAAGAAAAAATAGGTGGTAACTTAGTATTATTCGATATCTATGATTAAAGCCATACGTTATGATGTTTTGGTAAGTTACACACAAAGACCTTCTTGAGACTTCTAATTACATGATGGAATGAATGATTGCCTATAGAAATGTGAACATTTCACAGGAATTCAGGCTTACAAGGCTAGGTTAAAGGTTATTATCAACAGGATCCACAAGTCTCCATCCATCATTCTTGACTTAAAACCATATGTGTGTAAATTACAGTATGTGTATAAATTACATTATGATAGTAATCTATCTGGGTAGGCCTCTCGATGTCTGGATATGCTTAAATTAATAACTTACAATATTTCTACATTCCTACAACACGTTGAATACATTTAAAGTTTATAAAAATATTTTTCACAATCAATGCACCCCTTACAGACACACACTGCATTCAATTACATACACAGAAACACACCTTGCACCCCTTACACACACAGAAACATACAATGCATTCCTTACGCGCAAACACACACTGCATCCCCTATAAACACACTACATCCCTTATACAAATTGGTATCCCTATACACTACATTCTATAAGAACACACACACATTGCATCCTCTACAATAACACATAAAACATCCCCTACACACATACACTACACTTCCTGTGAGAGAACTCATGGGTGGGCCATGTAGGTATTTATGGGTGGGCATTGTAGGCATACTCATGGTCAAGCCCTGGGGGCCCAGACCTTGAGCTGTGTAAGGGGCCCTAAAAAATGGAGCTGCTTCCTGTTCGTTAATTGTTGTGAGCACTGTTAAAAACAGTCTCCAGAGACTCTTCTACACCAGACCTGTGGAGCCAGACTGAGCCCATCATCAGCCTCTTGTCCTCATCTGGTGGTAAGTAGGCAATCCAATATATTATTAGTGGCACTAATCTCACATTAAATGGATACTATAGTCACCAGAAGCACTACAGCATAATGTAGTGGTTCTGGTGTCTATAGCCTGTGCCTGTAGGCTTTTTAATGTAAACACACTGTCTTTTCAGATAAAAGACACTTTGTGAAGACTGGCGTTGGCCCATATGGGCGGGGCATTGTGATGTTACATGGTGGGCAGGACATTGGGGGGGGGCGGCAAATTTTTATTTGCCTAGGGTGGCAAAAATCCTTGCACCGGCCCTGGCTGCGCTTGTCTGTGATAACGCCCCCCTGCCGTGCTAAACACAAGTTCAGACAATACACTGACTGCAGGGCAGGCCAGCACCTCCAAGGCATGAAGGGCAAGCTTCAAGGGCAAGGGCAAGCAAACATGTGCCCAATTTGGAGACCCAGAAGTTGAATGGGGCAGACCCATCAGTTAGTACGTGTAGGCATGTGCACACGTACTGTTCCACAATGTTGCTGAAATGCTGCCTCCTGCTAAGACGTTCCATATCAGCTGGTGGTGCTGGTTGTTGTGGTGTGCTGACAAAGCTTTTCCACATTTCGACCATGCTAACCCTGCCTTCTGAGGTGCTGGCAGTGCCCCAGCTGCGTTGATGACCTCTTCCTCCTCCTCTGCCTTCGACTTGTGCTTCCACTGAGGCCCTGGTGTCAGTTGGGAATGCCCTCAGCAGTGCGTCTACCAGCGTGTGCTTGTAGTCGCGCATCTTCCGATCACACTCCAGTGAGGGAATTAAGGACGGCACGTTGTCCTTGTAACGGGGATCCAGCAGGGTGGCCACCCAGTAATCAGCACAAGTTAGAATGTGGGCAACTTGGCAGTTGTTGCGCAGGCACTGCATTATGTAGTTGCTCATGTGTGCCCTGACTGGACAATTGTGCACCTGGCCTATGCTGGTGCAGGAACCCACCCTCCGAGCCACTTGTGAATGACTGGCCTGATAACTGTGGAAATGACCCCTTTTCCTCCTTCTCTTTCTACCGTGCCACATCCTCTTCCATCATCGCCCAAAGCGTTTTTTTCAAGGAGACATAGTACTTTCAAGGAGGGATAGTAAGGCTGAGAACGGCGTCATCGGCACTGGCCATGTTGGTGGAATATTCGAAACAGCGCAACATTGCACACAGGTCTTGCATGGAGGCCCAATCATTGGTGGTGAAGTGGTGCTGTTCCGCAGAGCGACTGACCCGTGCGTGCTGCAGCTGAAACTCCACTATCGCCTGCTGCTGCTTGCACAGTCTCTCCAGCATGTGCAAGGTGGAGTTCCACCTTGTGGGCACGTTGCATATGAGGCGGTAAGCAGGAAGGCCGAAGTTACGCTGTAGCGCAGACAGGCGAGCAGCAGCAGGGTGAGAACGCCGAAAGCGCGCACTGATGGCCCACACTTTGTGCAGCAGCTCTGATATATCTGGGTCGTTTTTCAGGAATTTCTGCACCTCCAAATTCCACACAAGAGCCAGGCAAGGGATGTGCGTCAAACTGGCTAGGCCCAGAGCTGCTACGAGATTTCGCCCATTATCGCACACCAGCAGGCCGGGCTTGAGGCTCAGTGGCAACAACCACTCATTGGTCTGTTGTTCCATGCCCGTGCACAGCTCCTGCGCGGTGTGTTTTTTTTTTTTTTTTTAAAACAGCCTGCTGTTGTTTCCCCGTGGCTGTGCTGAAGTTGGTGGTGAAGGTGTTACGCTGACCGGATGAGGAGGTGATAGAGGAGGAGGAAGCGAAGTAGGAGGAGGAGACAACAGGAGGCAAAGAGAAATGCCCTGCAATCCTCGGTGGCGGAAGGATATGCGCCAAACTGCTATCCGCCTCAGGCCCAGCCGCAACTACATTTGCCCAGTGTGCAGTTAGGGAGATACAGTGTCCCTGCCCATGCTTACTGGTCCACGTATCAGTGGTTATGTGGACCTTGCCACAGATGGCGTTGCAGAGTGCACACCTGATTTTATCCGCCAATTGGTTGTGCAGGGAAGGGATGGCTCGCCTGGAAAAGTAGTGGCAGCTGGGAACCACATACTCTGGGACAGCCACCGCCATCAGGTTTTTAAAACTGTCCATCTCCACCAGACTGAATGACAGCATTTCAAAGGCAAAGGAATTTGAATTTGCTGGCATTCAGGGCCAAGGACCATGGGTGGGTAGGGGGGTACTTCCTCTTTCTCTCCAGTGTTTGGGAGATGGACAGCTGAACACTTCCACGGGACAGTGTGGAGATACTTAGGGACGGTGGTGGACGTGGTGGCGTTGCTGCCACATTCTCTGTTTGCGGGGTGGCAGGTGCCACTGTGACTCCAGAGGTGGAGGAAGAGGCCAAGACAGCAGCAGAAGAGGAAGCAGGAGGAGCCTGAGACCTTTCTTGGTTTTTGAGGTGCTTACTCCACTGCAGCTCGTGCTTTGCATGTAGATGCCTGGTCATGCAGGTTGTGCTCAGGTTTAGAACGTTTATGCCTCGCTTCAGGCTCTGATTGCACAGCGTGCAATCCACTCATGTCTTGTTGTCAGCACATTGTCTGAAGAACTGCCACGCAACTCATTGGAGCTGGCTTTGGTGTGCTCGGTCCCTGGGTGCGGTGGGCAGTAGCAGGTGTACTGTCTAGGGGACGGCCGCTCCGCTTTTGCACCCTGCTCCCTCTTATGCTGTGCTGGTGCCTCTGTGCGACCACTGCCTCTTTCTCCAAACTGCACACGTCACTCGCATGACCTTGATTCCATGTGAGGTCTAGGACCTCATCATCCTCCACATCATCATCCACCCACTCCTCATCCCTGCCCTCCTTGCACACTGCAGAAAGCCACAGCAGTTGGCACCTGTGTTTCATCATCATCAGAGACGTGCTGTGGTGGTCCTCGCGTGTCCACATCCTGAAACATAAGTGGTTGTGCATCCGTGCACTCTATCTCTTCCACTTTGGGGAAGGGCTACATGGATGGCCCAGGGAAACCCCACCAGCAGAGTCATCAAAAAGCATAAGAGACTGCTGCATGACTTGTGACTCAGACTACTTGGCTGATTTCCAAGGGAGTGAGGTGAAAGACAGATGGCTACGGGCTGCAGGTGCCAACTCTGAGCTTTCAGCAGGGGACCGGATGGGAGACAATGTGAAGGAACTGGAGGAACTTGTTCTGGCCTCACCATTCGTAGAGCTGCATTCGGGCCTACCAAATAACGCTGAAGGTTCTGTCGCCTACTCGCACCCGAGGAAGGTGTTTCACTTGTGCGTGTAGCTGGCAAGGATCGACGACGTCCTCTCCCTGCAACAGGAGCTCGACCAACACCAGCAGCACGTCCCTTATTTGATGCTCTCCTAATTTTTTTGCGTTCACCCACCAAACTAACAGATGGTTTATGTCAGGCGACAATGTAACCGCCAATAGTCAACAATTAAGTTCACTGACAGTAAGGCAGTGCCGGTGTCCTAAAGAGAAAAGAATTCTAGAGGTCACACAGCAGTGTGACAGGCATAATTAATACAGTTACTTCACTGTCTCAAAAAATGTGAATTTGTCAAACAACAATGTAACAGTAGTATTTAAGGGTTTTATTGGACTGCAAGAAATGCACCGCAGGCCGCAAATGTTCTATTTAGCACAAAAAAGTGTGATTTTTTAAACCAACAATGTAACAGTAGTATTTAAGGGTTTTATTGGACTGCAAGAAATGCACCACAGGCCGCAAATGTTCTATTTAGCACAAAAAAGTGTGATTTTTTAAACCAACAATGTAACAATAGTATTAAGGGTTTTATTGGACTGCAAGAAATGCACCACAGGCTGCAAATGTTCTATTTAGCACAAAAAGTGTGATCTTTTTAAACCAACAATGTAACAGTAATATTTAAGGGTTTTATTGGATTGCAAGAAATGCACCGCAGGCCGCAAATGTACTATTTAGCACAAAAAAAATGGGAATTTTTTAAAGTGCAATGTAACCACAGTATTTGACGGCTCTATTTGGCACTCAGATATAAAGTGCACACCTCAAATTTACTTTTTAGCACCAAAAAAATGGGAATTAGTCAAACTGCAACGTCACAGCAGTATTTGACGGTTTTATTTGACTCTCAGATATGAAGTGCACGCACCAAATTTACTTTTTAGCACAAAAAAAATTTGAATTTCTCAAACTGCAATGTCACAGCAGTATTTAAAAATGCCTAGATGTTGTCCACTGAGCTACCAGAACAGGATTAAAGTAATGTGCCTGGCACACATGCAGTTGCAAGTGCATTGCACTTGCAAAAATTGCCGCCGATGCCCACATAACAAACAGACTGATTGCTTATTTCTCTGTGGCACTGGGCTCAGGGAAAGGTACAAAAATGTAGTATAGCACCCACAAAAATAATCGCTGTAGTTTGCAGATTCAACACCAGAATTCTTTCCTAATCTGTCCCTCACAACTGCAGCATCCTCTCCCTACACTAATAAGAGCTCATGTGACGTGCGGCGCTACGTGACTCCAGC